GGAGCCAAATACCTGCCGAGAGATTTGGCAGCCTGATTTGATTGCCTCCTGTAACTCTGAGGAATCCTTTGAGGGTTTGGTGGCTGTGTTAGGGCCCTGCACAGGACATTACCTCACCCATACATGTGCTCCTTTCCTTCTCTGCCTTCCCACTAGCAGCCCGCTTCTCCCCTCACCTGAAGGGATAGAGACCTGACAGAACTCGGAGCAAATCCCTTTTCAAGGAAACTGCCCCACTCTGGTCTGTACGAGGTCTTCATCTGCTCTTGACTCCCCGACAATGACCCTTTGAGAACATGTTCTTTTCTTCCAGGATGAGGCAGACATCATGACTGCCATGTCTGTCTGCTCACACTCTCCTTCAGTCTGGAACCATCATTCACTCAATTATTCGCTCGTACTCTAAAGCCCAGGGTAGAAGCTTGGAGGTGTTTGTTTGTCCATTGGAGAGATTGGCCAGCAGCATCTATTGCTGGGATCTGTTTTAAGTGCTTCTGTGTGTGCTCCTGCTTATCTTAGAACGCTGTGAGGCCGCAGCTTCACACACAGGACACAAGCTCACAAAGCTTAAGTCAAGTGCTCTGGCCACATGTGGTTCATGTGGCAGCTAGATCTTTCCACTCTCAGCAGACTGGGGGCCTTGCTGTTCCTTGATCAGAGATGGTGCCATCCTTGTGACACAGAGACACTGCGGGTAATCAAAGTCTGAATGCACCCTTACCTTAGGTCATCTCTATGCCTCCGCCTAGCTCTAACCACCAGGAATCCTGCTGTCCTGGAAAATGCTTTGTGTGACACCCTAAGGGAATAGAGCTAATGTCCTCCCAGACCAGCCATACCTATCCTCTGGTCATCAGGTAATTTGGGTCCTAGAGTTAGCAAGGTTGTTTTGCATAGAGGCATCAAATGCGAAGACAGAAAGGGCTGTGTCTTTGCTCCTAAAGCCAAGTGAGACAGTCCTAGGACAACTTCTTGGAAACTTGCAGGGGACTGCAAGTGTATCTCCAAGTAGATCAACAGAGAAAGAGAACTATAAATCCTTAACACACATGTATGTGAGCATTTACAATTTTAATACAGGTTGGGAAAAGGTCATGGGTCACAGAAGCCCACCCACTTACTTCATCCCTAGAAAAACAATCCATCCAAACAGGCAGTGATGGCACACATCTCTAAGCCCAGCTGGATCTCTTTGAGTCCAAGGCCAGCCTGATCACAAAGCAGGTTCCCAGACAGCCAGGGCCAAACAGAGAAACTCTGTCTTGAAAAACAAAACAGAAAAAGAAGTGTTCAGGTGGACAGTGCCCACTCGTGATGGAAGGAATGGCAGCTGAGTCGCCTGGGGACAGTTATGGCAAAAGCCGAGGCACTGAGCACACAGCAAGAGCTGATCTGGAGTGTACACATAAGGGCACATAGGACCTCCTTCATATGGCTCGTGGATGGATTCCATGGAGAAAAGTCTTGGTGTTTCACACAAGAAATGGGGGAGAGGTTGTCCCCACTAAAGAGTCAGCTTGCCCTAAGTAGATAGGGGAGGACTCCCCAGCATAAGACATCCTGAGAGATGAAAGAGCCAGAAGTATCTGTGTGCCCAGTGGTGGCAAAGAACAGCCTCTAGAATGGCGGTAATATACAGGTAAGAATTGTCTACCTCCTGTCCTGTGGAGCACAGCACAGGCACCTGTTTGCTACCACACCACACAATGCTGATGGAGAATGTCACCCAGGGCCCTGCCAGGTTCGTGGTCAGACAGCAGCAGGAGTCATCAGAGTGTGCAAGTATGTGGTAGTCACATGTGAGAGCCACCACAGTGTGCCTCATGAAGAGAGACGGAACTGGAGACTGGAGGGCAGAGAGGAGTAGCCTCTTGTGAGTGACCAGCCCTGCCACTCGGAGCCTTGGTAAGGTCCAGGGCCATGTCTACATCTGTGGTTATGCAGCTGCAGGGGTCGGTGTTGATGCCCATGGCTCATATTAGCAGAGAACCACTGGCTGTGGCACTCTGGAGAGCTGGCCCCATCTCCCACCAATAATGAAAGGGCCCTACACCTCTTGACACCTCCAACAGTTGGGAAAACTGAGCACAGGGAAGCTAGCCTAGCCCCTCACTAGCTGTAGCATTCAGGAGAGTAAGCCCTGCACCTCAACTGGACAGTACAGCAGAGCTGACCAGAGGTGTGGGTGAGCTGGCCCCAAGAGTACGAACTGTGAGGGACAGTTGGCCTGCCACTGGTCTGCTGTGAGGTGGCATGGGTGCACCTCACACCCTTCAACCACCTCCACTAGCAGCAGTAGGAAGAATTACCCCCTCGGGGAAGTCATAAGAGCAAGAGAGCTGTGTCTACACCTTTCAGGCTACAGCACTTGGGAGAGTGAGCCCTGAACCTTCACTGGTCAGCACAGTGGAGCTGGTTCTGGAGGTATAGGTGCATGAGAGCCAACCCCAAAGGCAGGAGAGCAGAAGAAATGACCCTGATTCCTGCTGATAGTGACACTGGGTGGCCTTGCCAGAGCAAGTGCTGGACAGATCACCCTGGTGGTGCAGATAAGGGAAAACCGGCGTACTGACCGGCTCAGGTACCACCCAGGCCCAGATCCAGGGCTCTGAGTTGGCCCACCCCAAAATCTACTTCATCTGTGAGCAGTTGGGACAAGTAAAAGGGCCACCCCTGCTGTTCTGAAGCTGTAGGATCTCCATGACACAGGGCCACAACAGGGTAACTGGAAGGAGTCCCAATGAGGACTCAGTATTGATGGTGTCACAGAAGCCAGAGATGTTGACCCAGACTAATGACCCACTGCAATGGACATTTACCAGTAAAGATGTGTGGACAAAAGGGTGTACTGTGGGACACACTGTGAAACGCTACAGCTTCCACGATGAGATGTTTTGGTTTTGGGGGGATTTGTTTTCGTTTTTTTATTTGTGTGTTTTTTATTTTGCTGGGGAGGTTGGAAGGGCAAAGGATGGATAAGAGGAGATGAGCAGGACTGAGGTGCATGATGGGAAACTCACAAAGAATCAATAAAAAGTAAAACCAATAAACAATTGTCTGGCTGACCCTCTTCTCTGGAAGAGCCGGGGCAGTGCAGGGTCTGGAGGACTCCTGGAGCGAGGCTGGAAAGTGAAGACAGGCTGCCATAGCATCCTGTTCAAACGGACATCCCAGGGGAAGGGAGGTCTTTCCTCATGAGAGTTTGGAGTTAAGTGGCCATTACACTGGTTCCACACACTCTTCATAATGTCAGAAGTCAACAGTCATGGCTTGTGTGTCCCTCTCTAGATCAAAGAGCAAACGCTGAAGAGAGAGCAAAGCCAATAGGAAAAATCTAGCCAGCTTGTTCAGGAATTTGTCTCCACAAAGAGCAACAGAGACAGAAAACTACTGACCCTTAACACATATGTATGTGAGCACCAATGATTTTAATATAGTTCGGGAGAGGGCTGTGAGCCACAGACGCCTACCACCGCACCCCTAGAGAACAATGCCCACTTGTGAAGAGGTGCTTAGGTCCTACGGTCCCCAGAGTGTCACTGGAAAGGATTCAAGGCCTGGGAGTGGTTGTACCCGGCTCTACCCACCTTCCACTCCACGGCATAGCACTTGTGTATCTGCATCTGGGCTCCTAGAAGAGCAAGCTCTGTGCTTTGCGGGGGTTAACCTTCTGCAGTAATGCTGGGAAGTGTTTGTTTTCTCTAGCCCTGCCAGAGAGCCCCTGGCAAGGAGACTAAGTGGGTTTCATTGAAAAGATACTTTTCCTCCCTGGGCCGATAAACAAGGCCATTGCAGGGAAACCGACTTCCTTAGCCAGGCCCTCTGCAGCTGCCCATCTCTGGCCAAGGAAAACAAATGCATAAACATTTCAAGGAGATATAGGAAGCATTTCTACTGGGAACCTGCTGTGAATGGCCACTAAAGTTTACACAGTGAGCCCCAGGGGAACCTGGTGCAGGACACAGCCCTTCCCGCCCTCTGCTTCTCCTATGGCATGGTTGACTCCTCCCTGCCTCTCCAAAGATCTGCAGTTAGGACGCACCATGTGCCCTACCCACAGGAACACAAGACAAGCTCTGTAGTTGTCCCCACCAAATCCCTAAGTCCTTAAAGGAGGGGATTTCTTCTTACAGCAAGGGGACTTCTTACTGCAGAGGGCACAGCCTAAAGCAGCTAGGCTCCTACACCCCATGGGGACACACGGAGGACAAAGATGGGCTGCCGGGCTAAGGGTAGAGGCACCTCAAAGCTTTCCCATTATTTTGGTCCTAGTTTCTACCTGGATAGCCATATGACAGGGTCTCTGAAGTCTGGAGCTTTACCCTGAGGTACCTCTCGTGAACTGCTGCAAGCAGCCCTGGACTCTGGCTCTGAACCATCCAGTACCTCCAGGCGTTCTTCCCTAGCTACCATTGCTGCTTTATCATGTTCCGTGATGAAAGCCAGAGGAGATACACCTCTCCTCTGGTAAGTGGTAAGTGAAACTCAGAACATATCATTTCCCCATCCAACCTCTCTCCTCATTCTGCAATGTGAGTACTTCCAAACCCTGCCCACTCATGATGGCAGTCAGTTCTCCCCAACAGCCACAGGGAAGTCAACACTTGATCCCTTTGCTTGTCCCCATCTTTCTTGCTCACTTGGGTAAGAAGTCATTCCCTGGGTATCTTTCTACCCCTGCCCATCCCAGTCTCCTTCTAGGCCCACCCCAGCCTCATGTGGCCTCACAAGAGAACCAGGTCGTCCCAGAATTGGGCTCTCCAGACCTTCAACTCTTGGTAGCTTGTATCTTAGACTATGCTGCTCCTGTGGATAACTGAGGGACCTGGGGACCCAGACAAGAGCATCTCTGGGACAAAAGGCTGGGCTTGGCCTCACATCTTGGCTAGGAGATACTTTGCCCGTCGGTGTCCTGAGCCTCCACCTCCCTGTCGCATCTTAGCCATGATGAGAGCAGACCTGTGAATCACACCAATGAACCGCAGTCTTCACCCTGGTTATAGGCTTGACTTTTGCTTTATGGAAGCTGCAGTAACAAGACTCCAGAGTCCCCAAGGCCAGTGACACCAGTGATAACCCTTGGAGAGAGGGCTATCCAGGAAGGATCCAAACGAAAGGCAGCGGAGTCTCTGGTGGCCTCCTTCCTGTCCTTTGGCAGTCACAGCTGGGCCAGGAGGGAACCTCAGCAGTGCCCAGAACCCTACCACAGCCCTTCATGGAAGGAACTGGAAGACCTGGCATGCCTCTGTGGCCATGCAAACTCAGGCAGGGTGACACCTCTAAGAGACTTGACCCTAAGACCAGGGGTCCAGGGGTCATCCCAGTGATGAATGTTGAAGCCATAGAACTCCACGTATCCAAGGGTCACAAGATGGGGTCTGAGCCATTCCAGTTCACGGATGCCCCCTTCCACCTATAGAGAGAGTGACAGGAGAGTGTTAGAGCTTCAGGGACCCAGGAAGTAGGCTTTGAGGACCCCACCCTGTCCACCTGCTCTCCGTGCTCTCATCCAACCTAAATACCTATATGGCATGCAGAAAAGACTCCAAGGACCCTGGTAACAACAGGGAAGACACAGATGGCAGGGAACTTGTCCTCTGTGCCATAGCTGACTGTGTCTGGCTCTGATGCTACAGCTCTCGAATGATTTAACTCATCCAAGTACATCCAGACCCAGCTCTTGTCCAGCCGTGTCTGGCAGTGGCCCTTCAGTGACACCTGTGTAGGACCAGGGAAATAGATATTCTGGGATGTCCATGGTGCAGGAGATGAGCAATAAAGGTGAAGAGAAAGATGCAGGGGAGACCGGACAGCTGACAGCAGACCGGGGCATTGCTCTGTGGGCCACAGGAAGCTAGGGAGCGCCGTGAGTGCTGCAGGAACAAATTTATAAAGGAACTAATTTATAAAGCTGTAAGAAGAATTAAAAAGACAAGTGCTGGGATCTCAGATCCGATGGAACAGTTACTGTAGGTGAGGCCAGAGGGGTTCCTATGACCTGTAGAGCTAATTTTCTAAACAACCGAGGGGAATCATATGTATTGCAGAAAGAGAATTAGGCAAGTCTACCACTACGGGTAGCCTGCCTACGTAAAGATTCTAAGACAAGATGAAGCAGAGTGTGGCGAGGCAGCACTATAGACAGAGCAGCAGACTGGGGCTTAACAGTGTTTTGCAGTGTATGAAGTTTAGAGAGGGAACAAACATTATGGTTTCAAAACGTTGAGTCAAAATCCTAACTGCCACAGGCAAGGGGGAAAGAGAAGCTGTTCTTGTTTTAACTCAGCATCTCTCTGAGGAAGCCCAAAATCCCAAGACTGGAACTTCAGCAAGAGAGAAAACAGATCCACTCAGAGTTACAGTGCAGTATTTCCCAGCAGAATGACTGGAAGCAAGAGGCCTTACTCACAGAGATGTGGCTGGAATCTGAAAGGTCCCCCACAGGTTCATGGTTTGAATTCTTGTTTCCTGCTTGGTGGTGACAGTCGGGGAACTTTTAGGAAGTGAGGTCACTGGAAGAAGGTCTCTGGTGATGATACCCAACCTCTGTCTCCTGTCAGACTCAGTTTTCCTGTCTACCATGCTGTAAACATTTAAACATCCTCTGACACATCTTCCCACCAGTAAAACACAAGCCCTCCCCACCAGGACAGGCTGAACACTCAGAAACCACGAACCAAGTGAAATCTCTTTCCTTTAAGTTGTTTGTTAGGTACTGTGGTCCTAGCACCAAGAACACAACGAAAGCACACTGGTTTCCCATCCACAGCTCAACCATCTATACAGATCAAGAAACAATAGTGACAACCCCCATCCCCCAAGCCAAGAACAAATCTATAGTAAGCATGTAAGCCTGACTTTTCCTGTCATTATTCTGTAAACAATACAGTATAACAAGTGCTTGCATATCAGATATTATAAGTCCCCAGAGACTAAACCATACAGAAAGACGTGTAGCCGCATGTGAACACTATATGGTATTTTAAAGAAGGGATTTAAGCAGCTTGGGATTTTTATACTCTCAGGTAGCCTTGGAGTCTCCCTATCCATGCAGAACAACAACTGAATGGTTCATCCTGGACCCAGTGTCCCTCACTCTTATTAGCCCATCTTCCAGCTCAACCCCCATTTTCTTCCTCAGGGCTCTGTCTTCTTCAGCTCTCCACACTACTGCCTCAAGATCTCTAGTTTTTAGACTGAAAATTACACTTTCCCAGAGGTAGCAGAATTCACACTCCCCATCTTCTAACTCGCTTTCCTGTAGGTTATGAGCAGCTCCTTGGTAGATTTATAAATTATATTTCCCCTGTTTCATATTTTCTAGGCTTTACACCATCCCATTTCTCATCAAAGAAACAAGCAGATTTCTTGTCATTTGAAAAAAAATGACAACAAATCTTACCTGCAAATTCTCTTTCTCCCATGGAATGCTTTGGTATGGAAGATAGTAGCTGCACACAGTCACAAAGGAACAATTCACATCACGTTCTAGCCCCACCAGGGGACAACAAGGACAAGATATACTTCCCAAACCTCTGAAGGTGTGTGAATGTACAAGACAGAATGCTGTCCTAATGTATACCCTAATCAGTGTTCCAGAAAAGCTGGGTGTCTGAAAATTCTGTAAAAACCAATCTGCTTAAAGGACTAGACAGGGCGTGTGGGGAAAGCCAGCATAGGCAGGCATAAATGTTAATTTGAGGAGCTGTTCCCAAAATTTGGTGTTCTCTTTGGTGTCATTTGATGGCACCCAGCAATGCTGAAAGACCTCACCCCTATAGGGACATGCGGCTTTTCGGCAGTCAACCCTTGGCTTCCTGCAGGAGAGGCATTGACTCCTGTTTTGGTCACAGTACTCAGAAACAATTCAAAAGGAGATCTTTTGAGAGCCACTTTTGTAAGATCCATTTTCCAGCCTACTCCGTGCTGGGAGTTGAACACCAATGCCATCATCGCTGCCCGCACTCCTTCCTAACCACCAATGTGGAATCCCAAGGGTTAATCTTGACCTACTAGATGACGGAGAGCCAGGTGGCTCAGTGATCTCTGTTGCTTGAGACCCTTTCCCAAGCTTCTAGTGTGTCAGGTAGATCTAGGGGACTCTATCAGGTTTGGTCACTTAGATAGGACACATCTGCTTGGATGGAACACAGCTGAGCCGTAGCATCTGTCTTCACTGTCTGAGGGGTAGACATGGCCACCATCCTGCTAGGCAACTTGATGTAAATTGACAAGTTAACTATTATGTGAGTAGTCTTCTGTAGGTAAGATTTAAGGGAATCTCATGAAGTTCCAGGGGAGACAGCATAGGTCTATCAGAGGGGAAACGGACCCTGCTCTGACTGGTACCTTGAGCAGATACAGGTGGAGACGTGCTGATCCCAGACTCTGAAAGGTAGGGCTGGTCTACTGCAGCTACTAAGTTAGTCAGGATTCAGTATTTCTTTTTGAAATGTTTAATTATCATTTCCTATTCGTCTTTGCTGTTTTGAGGAGCACCATTAAGTAAACTTTTATTATTCTAGTAAGATTTATATATAAGCATCAACGTCTTGGGTACCAAGAACACATCTTAAGGGCCTGAAGAGATGGCTCAGTGGTTAAGATTCCCAAAATGGTAATGAAGGGGGGCACAAAGTAGCAAAAGAGATCCACCCTCAGCCTGGTCCCCAGGGACTACACAGCCACCCTCTTCAGAGAGTCTCAACGCCTAGACCCTACCTTCTCCACTTGCAGGCTGAAGGCTCTCCCAAGGGCTCCCGGTTTTAGTACAGGGTGAGCCACATTCACCCACCACTAAATAACATCAGTATCACGACAGTCCTGGAGCCTCACTGGCAGGTTGCTAGGTCTGTGTTTGGGTTTGAAGCCATTCATAGGGCAGCTAGCTCTCCCATGCTGACCCACAGGTGAAAAGACAGTGGAGAGAAGCACTTTGCTATGGGACAGGAGACAATGGGCATCTGAAATGCTGGGAGGGCGGAGATGACGGCTGATCCGAATGGTCTAGAGTAAGATGAATGTTTACAGTGTGGCAGCGGCAGTGAGGGACTGCGGGGAAGTGAACGAACGGTGAGATGAAGAAGTGGGGAGTGAGCAGGTGAGATGGAGGGGTGCTTGAATGGAGTGCGGGAGTCAGCGGTCCAGGCTGTCATCGGCAGTAACTCATGCAGTACACTTCAAACCACCTTGCCACTGGATAATTCTGCTGTGGGAGGTATTCTGTTCACTGTAGGACATTTTGTGCCCTCTTCCTGACTATAAATGCTGAAAGTATTCCAAGACTGCCAAATAACCCCAAAGGTGAAAAACCGCTCCACCAAGGACCGCTAACCTAGTAGTTGAGCTTTGAGCTCAAAGTCAATAGCAATATCACAGAGAAGGCCATGGCATGCATGTATCCACTCCCCCAGCCTCAGGTCAGTAACTACAGCACAGCCAGCTCCAGCCTGAACTCATTCAGACCACTGCTAAACCTGATGTACTTCATATAGGAGAGGATCCCACATGGGGCCAACAACTGCAAAAAGAAGGCTCCAAACCGCTCAGACACATCCAGGGATCCGTTTGCTGGCCTTGATTTTCCAGACAAACAGCTTTTGTGCATGTTTCTGTCCTTGCACTCGGGCCATTCCCAATCAGAGGTGGCTCTAGAGTTAGCCCAGCATGCTGCCTGCCACCTGCAGCCTTAGCCAGTCCTCCTCCTGGCCCACTCACGCTTCTCTAGGCTCAGACTCAGGCCACTTGCAGAAGAGATCTGGTTTGGAGGTGGTTCTCAGCATTTGTGGTAGGCTCAGGAAGACTGATAATACCTGTTGCCCAGAGTTGAGGTGTGAGGACACTCCTCCACCCACCCCAGCTCCCCCCTCACACACCTGCTCTGAAGCCCTCCCAGATCTTCAGCAGGGAAATCTGGGTCTTTCAATATCACTCGTTACACAACTCAACACACTGTCCGGGCCTCCCCTCCAAGCCTTCTCCCCCTGTGAATCCTACTCCTGCCCACCTTCCCCTGCATGTTCAGAGCCCCTGAAGGTCAGGAGTCCACCTGTGGTTCTATGTTCTAGCTTACAGTGGCTCGGGAAAGAGGAAATGACGGCTGACAGCTGGGCAGGATTAAGTTCAGGAGGACAACCTAAACGATGAGACAAGCCAGGGCAGAGTGGGAATGTGTGGACCACAGCATATCAGAAGGGTGTGTGACATAGACAGTGGGTTCCAGGGAGAGCTCCCTCTGTGGTTACGGGGCACTGTGAATGGGGATCCCAGGCCAGGGCATCAGCAGGGAAAGGGGTACTTAGATGGGTAGAACATCCCTGTGGAAGGTGAACACTCTCCAGGCCTCAGAGACACTGACCCAGTCTGGAACTAGTTTGCATTTCTCATCTGAGCCTCCAAACAGAAACATCTGGACCCTAGCCCCAGGCCCAGTTATGAGCTCTTTCCTCTGCTCTCTGGCCTGTTGACAAGGGTTTCATTTTTCTCTCACTCCAGTGAGGATGGAAGCCTGGGAGAGGTCAGCGGGTGCTGTTGGAAATGACCCCCAAAGAGTCTGGTTCGGCTGACGTCGCTTCAGAACAACAGGAGGAGGGCAAAGAGATGGACCCCACATTCCTGACACAGCAAAGGTAACAAGAGACTCTGTGGGGCTGAGATGTGTGTCATAACAAATAACAAGGACAGCACAGGGACCTAGTGATGTTTCTAATCGGGATGCTGTTCTCTGAAGGCAGAACCCAGAGTCTGGGCCTGTGCGGCAGAGCCAGATGGCAGGAAATCACACTGTCCGCTCAGTGACCTACCACCCGGCTGGGACAGTGAGGGTCCAAGCTGCTGGTGATTCAAGGTAACTCGGCAGACTGCCATGTGGGAAACCTTCACCTTCTCATCTATGAAAGAAAGGGCTATTGGGGGGATGTTGGGCACGCCTCTATGGACTAAGCATATTACCAGATGGCCAGGTATGTGGTAGGTACGTCCTATAGGGTGGGTCATGATTCCCAAGGGCAGCAAGGCTGGGCTTAAGGATAAGAGGTTATCTTTCCCAGGAATTGATCATGGTTGTTTCTGAATTTGATTTCCATTTGATTGAACTCTCTGAGAGTGAGAACTAATTCTTATCCAGCTGTTTCTTCTAAAGAATCAAGACAGAGCTTCCATGAGCCTTGTCATGTTGAGAAGGAAACTCCACCCACCAGGTCTCCAGCTAGCTATTCTCCTTATACATGGACAGGAGGCTTTAACGCTCGGCGGCATCTCACCAAGTATGTGAAATCTGACTCTGGGTTTGGCACAGAGTGTGACCTGAGTATGGACTATGGTGCCATGTATACACTAAAGCAGGTCCATAGGCAGCAGGGTTTGCCCTCTCACCTCACCCTCATAGCCAAGGCCATGCCAGCAGGTCCCCACAGTGACCTCAGAGGCTACTTTCCCAAGTTCTTCCTTTAAGCTGCTTGAGAATCTGTAGCAAAAACAAAAGCCAAAGCCTTTGTAATTCAACTCCTTGGTCTAGGATTCCTGGCCTGCTGTTTTTCATTATAGTGGCTTGTTATCTGATGAATCAAGGGGACAGGGACCCAGCCACTCCATTCTTCATTCACCCCCTCAGCCTTCCGGGAATAATTCTGGGAAAAACTCTGGGAAAGTACTCCCATGGTAACTGGCTACGTAGGCCCACCATGGTGAATGCACTGAGAACACAGAACAGGCAAAGTCCTGGTGTTGTGAAGAAAGTTCCCTGGCCTCTGGCAATCATACAGACAGGCTTGGTACTTCCCTTGGCAACTGACATGCCAAGGCAGGCTCAGAAGGCAGCTGTACATGGAAAGAGCCAGGCAGGCCCTTACCCATCAGTAGAACATTCTCAAAAGTAGGGCCTAGAGAGATGCTTCCACAGTTAAGAGTGATTGCTGGAAATAATGAAGACCAGAGTTCAAATCTCAGCACCCAGGGAATAAGCCAGGTGTCTCACATATGTATTGCTGGGGCTTGCTGGCCTAGACTATCCAACAAAACATGAAACCCAAGTTCATCAAGAGACTCTACCTCAAAGATACTAGGTGCTGGGTGGGTAGATAGAGAGGATACCTGCTGCTTTCTTCTGGCCTTCATAGCACACACACACACACACACACACACACACACACACACACACTGTAAACATGAATGAATGAATGTTTTCTAAAGTGGTCCTAGGGCTGTGGTAGCCCCAGCAACCAGTAACTGCTGCGTAGGAGTTCACATCCTCAGGCCTCACCACAGAGGGTCTGGTTGGCCTGGAGATTCCACTTCTAACATATTCTTCAAAGGAAGCTAATGTCTACAAGCCTAGGACTTAAGCTCTGGGGTAAGACTCCCCAGTGAGTAATCCAGAATCCACATGGGCTTCCCCTAGCCATCCCGGGGATGGATGGTGTCTGGGACCCCTAAGAGTCCCTAGGCCTGATGTCTGGAACCCTAACTAGTTGTATGCTGTACAAATAGCCCTGTTTCTCTCTGTTACAGACACTGAGAAGTACTTCTGAAGATGCCATGGCTCTGTCCCATCCGAGCCCAGGACAGGGAGCACCAACAGAACAGATCCAAGCCCACCCTCCATGATGATGATGATCACAAATCATGCTCCGTGCCAGCCATCTCAGGCAAGAGGCTACCCTCAAGGTAGGCCAAAACTCTGAGCCATTCTCAAATAACTGCCCATCAGACTGAGCTCAGAAAGCCAGTCAAGGCTGAACTTGGTGGGGGGCTGCTAGGTCAATCAGGAGCCATCTATTGCCAAGGGAGGGCAGTGAAGGACTAAGGGGTACTATTAGTGGGAGGGGTACAAGGATAAAGCCAAGAAGAGATCTCAAGGAGCATCTCAGTCTGGAAGGGACAGAAGCTATGTCTAGGGGCCACTTGTGGCCCTTCTCCTTCAGAAGGGTCACCCTGTGGCATACTCTGCTGGCCTCCATAGGTGCCAAAGCCAGGATCACCTCCTTTCCCCTTCAAAACCTTCACTCATCACCTTGAATGAGTGGCCCTTTGTACTTGAAAGGACAGCGACCCGCATGTGCCCCTAATCCTCTGATGAAAGCAGCCAGCCTATGACCCTGCAGGAATGCTGTATCCCTGTGGGGGAGGGCAGGGAACTGGCACAAGGAGGATGTGCCTGCAGCCCTCCCACTTCCCCTTCCTGATGCCTCCATGGTGCCAAGGCAGTCCTTGCTCCTGTCCTCAGTCCTGCTCAAAGGCTTGTTTATCTACAAGGGGTTGCAGGCCTGGACTCCAGGCCTGCCGCATGTATCTCAGGTGCTCAGCATCTCAGGGCCAGGCTGTGACTCTGGCCCCAGCTGGGAAACAGATTCCTCCTGACACAATCCCGAGTCCCAAGTGCCAAGGACAGTGACAGTGAGAGCTAATGCTAGAAAGCATTTAGTAAGATCCACCTGGGCTCCAGGCTGCCACTGTCCCCACTTTACAGATGACAAAGTAAGTCAGATAGGTGAAGTCCAGTGCCTCACAGCCAGCCTGCAGCCTGGCTTCTGAACGCAAGCTCAGAACCACACAACATGCACTACATCCCTGGAAAAGCATCCAGAACCTTGTCTCCCTCCCGAGACGCTCCTCCCTGCTTCCCTATTACACACTGAGGTCTCCAAGTCATCACTTCAGACTTTGAGAAGAGCTGCCTGAATGAACCAGAGGCTTCGACTAGCGACTAGAGATACAGCCCACAGGCCCTACAGAGCATGGCCCAGCCTGGAGCAAACAAAGCCTAGGAAGAAAGGGATGGGCTTTTCCCAACTCAAGCCTAGGCCGCAGCCTCCCCTAAATGCAAAGTCTGGATGACGTGTCAAGGAGTCCCCTCCCACGAGTGTCTCAGAGACAGGAGAATCCATGCTCAGTGTTGTGAGTGGCCCTACCACACAGGGTAGGGAGGTACATTGTGGTCACCCACATCCCATCACGCCCTAGCTATCCCATCCCTTCTCCCAACTCTATTCAGTTCTTCAGCTCCTGAAAAGTCAGCACACTCACCCAGTGGAGATACCTGCATAAGTATAAGCCCCCCGGCCAATGTCTAATCAGCTGCATGGTATTACCTGACCACAGCCTTCTAAATCAGGCCACCCAGGAAGCTGTTTGTCTTTCTGTCTACAGGCTTAATATCCCCAATCAATGCACATCCTGGCCTCTTGGGGTGAGTTGTTTGAAGTTAGAGGCAGCCCCACTCACTTGGTTCTGATACAGAGCTCGAGAGGAGGGACAAGGTCACGGCAGCTATCCTCTGAGGCAGTCTGGGTGGTATCTAGGAAGGAAGAGGGAAAAGCACTATGTCATCTCAGGGATACGCACTGACCCTGCGGCCAGTATGAGCAACTCTGGGGCCCCACCCCAACTCTTGGGTATGATGGACCCATCTTCATCTTGACTGGATCCTCCCTGCTTCTTGGTCATTGATTCTTACCAAGACAGTGCACTGGCCTCTTACCTCCAGTCTTCACCGAACCCATGCCTTACTTCACTTACCAAAATATTTTCTCTAAAAGCAATTGTGGTCTCATTATTCCTCTACCCTAAAACCTCCTATGACTCCCTGTTGCCTTAAAAGCAAATCCAAACATATCCGCATAGCTTTCAGGGCACTTGCACGTGGCCTTCACTTCATCTTCCATTCTCAGTGCCAACAAGTGCTCAGGGCCCAGGGCCCTCTCTTGCAGGACAGTCAGGCTAGCATCACTCTCTGGCCACCCATGATTATCCCAAGAAAGTATGTTAAGGCTGGTTCTGGAGCCGCCTGGAAGCTCCCTGAAGATATGTGTTAGGGTGTCTCACCAACAGTCAGCCGTATCTCCTCCTGCTGGTTGGCCAAGCCGTCATAGTAATATAGGTCAAAGAGCCGCTCAGACCTCCAGTCACACAAGAGCTCTGGCCGTAGGCTGAAGAGGATGCTGAAGTGACTCTCACTGCAGACCACCCAGATGGGGAACCTTGGTGTCTTCAGGAAGCAGCCAACCTAAAGGACAGAAAGACCTGAAGGAACATGCTGACCAGCTGAGGTGAGGCTTGCTTCCCAGAGATCCTTGGTGTGACGCTAGAAACCCTTCCTGCTGCCTAGATCACAAGTCTATCTCCTAGAGTTGACCACAGCAGGGATCACAGGGACCTCACACAAGCCTTCTACACACACAAGACACGCCCATTGGTTCCAGGTAACATCCATGCCACAACCCAGTCATCTAACTCTCTCTTCTACTCCAGTCTCTCACACACCTCGCTTGTGTGTAGCTCAGCCATGGCCTCCTGCTTTATGCTGAGCTCCTCAGTCACTCAGCCCACCAATCCCTGGGCCTTCCCATTCTTTGCCCTCCATTCTGAAAGCTTTATCACCTCAATTTCCCAGTCACAGAACAGGTTATCATTGGCTCCTTCCAGTTCCCAGGGGCATGTCACCAAGCAACTGCCCTCTCAACCACAGCACCAGAGTGTGTCATTTGCCTTGTGACACTGCTCAACACAGGTACCACTACCAAGAGACCGCCCAGTGTGCCAGCAAATGGTTGAAAACTGGAGATCCTCGGGAATAGTACTGGACTTCAACTAGAATTGTGCCTTCAAGACAGGTAGGACTGGGAGCCCTGGGGAGGCAGGAGGGGAGGGTCTGAGTGAGCAGTCTATGGGTGAACGGCTGACAAGTTCAGGGTACAGCAGGGTACTTGGTAAAGAAAGCCTGGAGGATGAGGTTGGGGCAGCACCAGAACATGGAACAAATAGGCTCTGGTGACTGCTAGCCAAGGACTCTCATGGCTGGCTAAGGGTGTATAGGAACCGAACAGAGACTACCACCCAGAACACTGGCACGACGCTTCCTGCAAAGAGATAACTGCTCCGAGCCCTTGGGCAGGCGACCCACTATAATACACTTCTGTGAGTGCCCAGCACCATGTCTACCAGGTTATTCAGCAATGTTGAGTTGGTCCTGCCTAATCCAGTCACCCCCAGGAGATGAGATATTTGCTGCACAGATGTTTACAGTCTCCATTGTGGATTAAGGAAAGAATTAAGCTATTTTTCCAATAGGGAGAAGGGCACACTTGCTCTAGGGCCCACCACAGAAGTGTGGAGAGGCAGCTCCCACCTCAGGGGTAACGCTGAGCTACAGGGGCCTGGGATAAAGGGGCTGTGCTCACGTCCCCCATGAAGGACTTGCCTATTAAGTGGAGTGTAGGGACCACATTCACCAAGTACTGGTTGCTTTCCTATCTACAATAAAGCCCCTCTCCACTCAGCCGTGTGCAACACTCGGCTGGACAACAAGCTTGCTCCACCTGAGATACGGGGCATTTGGCCATGCCTGACCCCTGCCTAACCCTTCTATAGGCTTAGCTTCCTTTCTGTGCTCAGAAGAGCCTTTTCTTGGGAGACATCGCCTGGCTCTGTGCTCACTCACAACAGGCAAGGAAAGTGCCTCAAGCCAGCCATGGGCAGGCCTGGGCGCCATCAACTCCTGAATTTTCCAAATGAGGGACAGAGGGCAGTTTGCCATTTATAAACAACAGTCAAAAGATTAAGAGCCAAACAGCTGCCCAGAGGGCTTATAAGTGAGTGCACTCATTCACAAGGCTTTTCCACGAGGAGACATTTTCCAGAGAAACTTCCTTAGGGGTCTTAGGGAGCTGGGTGTGCCATTTCCTCAGTGAGGGCCAGGCTCTTCTGGACCATGATACACTTTAGTAGGTTGTTTTTATTTGTTTGCTTTTATTGTTCTGAACTTTTAAACTTACTTTTACTGCTGAGGAATAAGCTCAGGCGATTATGGCAAACCTGTGCTCTGTAAACGAGCCTGAGATTTTTACTTAATGCCATTCAATTTTTTTTCACACCAACAAGGATACATCTATGCTGTGAGTTGACAAACACCATCTAAGTTAATAAGAACGGCTATAACAATGCTCTGATTCTGAACATGCAAATGAGTCACAAGTGTGCTTTGGGGTGTATTAATTCTCAGGGGAATAGCTTCCAGAGTCAACATTCTGAGGTCAAAGAGCCTGTCTTTTAATGTGCTGTATCATGTCAAAGTCTCCCTCCACCAGCTATGGCCAGAAAGGCCAGCTCCCTCCACAGCCTCACAAGGCTCTGTGCCTTTCACATCTCGTTCTTGTCGCTCTCATTCAAACTGTGAAGCTGATCTAACCTTGACTGTTAGGGTGGTGTGACGGGAGCAACTTTTCACCTGTGTACTTGACAAATGACTGGCAGATGTCTAGAGTTTTATCAAAATGAACTGCCACAACATTCTCTGGGTTTTTGTTGTTCGGGATATTTTTAGTCTTTGTTTTCTGGGGGTAGTTGTTTGTATGTTGTTGTATGGAGACAAGAACTCCACATGTAGCCCAGGCTGGCCTTAAAATTCTAGATTCCTTAGAGCTAGGATAACAGGCGTATATCACATGCCTAGGTCTCCTGAAATAGTTTATATTAAGTGAACTTACTCTTTCTCTATAAGCTTGCAATCTAACTATTGTGGGTGTGTGCGCGTGTTTGCGTGTGTTTTCATCGATCCATTTGTCTATTCTTATGCCTGTGTTTGATTACTGTGGGCTTCATTGTGTTGGTGGCTGCAAACACCGCTATGTGTTTCCAACTGCCCGGCTCCTCCTGGACACTTGTTTTTTCTTAGATAAACTATTCTGCAAACCCTTTGGGATTTTCTTCCCTTGATGAGCTGGGGTCTTAATCTAGTATTTCAAGTGTGCTAGGCTAGTGCTCTACACAGAGTTACGTCTTAGTCCAGTTTGGGATTTTTAATTTTCAGTTTAGGGAAAGTAGCATCTTTATCACTCTGAATCTCACCACTGACTCGATACGTTACTCTGATCTTTTATGTATTTCAGAAAATTATCTAGAAATCTTGTATTACCTTGGTTATGTTTAGTCCTTGGTATTTTCATGTTTTTTATTTTTATTTTTGAAAAGTATCCTTTTGGATTTTGCATTGTCTTTCTCAAGAATGTTTTTTATTTGTGTGCGTGTGTGTGCAGTATACCCAATCACCTTTCTAAGCTTTCAAAAGATGACCACAGTGGTTTTCAGTTGGCTTTTGTTTATTTCTCAATAGGTCACTGCACCCACATATGAATTTTTAGGGGTAGTTTAGTTATTTTGTATATGTGTGTGAGTACATATATGTGTGAAGATCAGAGGACAGCTAGGGGGCTCAGTACCTTCCTTCTACCACATGGGTTCCAGGACTCAAACTCAGGTCAGGAGGGTTGGCGACAAGTGCTTTACCTGCTGAGCCGTCTTGCTCATTCTCAGGGGTGTTTCTTTAAAATCTGGATCTTAACCTCTTACAGCAGTGGTGACCGGCTCCAGGCAGTAAGGACTGCTGCGTTCAAGCACTTGTTCTCAAGGGTCAGCACTTGACCACAAGCAGAATTACCTTCCTGTCTATGACGGTAACGTTCATTTGATGTAATTCCACTTTCCCTTCGGCAACACAAAAGACTATGGGGACACAGTGCTAGAGAAAATGAGATCAGTGAAGACAGCAGAGAGAAATCAAACGAGTACAGATGTGCCACACCTCACTCCCCAGTCACCACCATGTGTCCTGTGACCAACAGAGGCAGCCGCTGACCGAGTGTGACACACCACTACCTAGAACAGTGTGCTATCATTTCAGAAGGGCTGAAATGTGAGAAAGCGTCCATCTTAGAGGCAATAAAATATGATGCTTAGATCAAGGAAAGGCCTGCGAAGGAATCAGGTGCTTGGAGGGAAGGTGAGAGAACTCTGCTAAGTTAGAGGGAGGATGGAGGTGACAAAGACTTCCCTTTCAGAAAGTGACACTAAGGCAAAACTTGAAGAGTGGGTCAGGCAGGGCAGGTGGAGGGGTCAGCAAACACAGGGGCCCAGAGGGAGGAACAATCCTAAAGAGGTGGGTGTAGCTAGAGGCCTAGCATCTGGGGCCAAATGAAGAGGGAAGGAACATCTCTGGGAGGGCCCATGGTCACGCAAACTTGGGATTTTAATCTCTGTATTAGCGATTTGTGCTCAGGCCAGAACAGCAAAGACCACAGAATGTGTGGCTTAAACAACATAAACTTATTTTCTCAAAATTCTGGTGCATTCTGAAATCAAGGTGTCATCTGGACTTCTTGCCAGGGATAGCTCTCTCCAGCTTCTGGTTGACTGCCGCTCTGTGTCTCACGTCTGTGTCTACTCACTAATCTCTTCTTATGATGACGCTGTTTTGTGGATTAGGGACATCCTGGTGACCTCATTCTAACTTAATCACCTTCTTAAATACCATCACCAAATACAGTCCCGCTCAGGGTTCTGGGGTCAGGACTTCACATCTGAATTTTAGGAGACACAACTTAGCTCGTGATAGTCCTGCAAAGTGAAGAGCCTTTCACTTCTGAGCACAGAATGGTGTGATTGCATCTATGTTTTTAAAGATTACACTGCCTTCGTGAAGGGACAGGCTGGGAAGTAGCAGTATTTAGGATCAATGATACTCAAATCCTGGGTCTTCTTCGTGGCTATGTTAATGCTATCCAGTAAATGGGGCCAGCTAGGCCAAGAATTTGTCTCAGTTCAGACCTTGAGAGTTCAGCTTCCTTGAGAATGACTGATAGAAGGCCCTAGTGTCATGGGGAAGAGAGGTAGTATTAAGAAGGTGAAGGCTGCCAGGCCCTTTCTGGGTCTTTAGGAGTAGGAGAGGCCAAGACCCAGCCTTGATGACTTCTTGAGAGAAAGAGTGAGCATATCTAGAATCCCTTCTTTAGTGGGCTTATCATGGTACAGCACAGGACAGTGTCTATTACCCACACGGGACAATACTCCCAAGCTTGACCAGCAAATGGCCCATGTAGGTTCAAGGAATCTACAAGAAAACAACCACTAGGCCCATGTTTCTCCAACAGTCACTTCATTCTGAAGGAAGAATGATCTTGACTGTTTTTCTCACCATTTGCTCTGTACTGATCAAATCAAAATAGGTTATTTGTTCCCAGGCAGCCTGGACCATAGGAAGACATCAGGGCTCATACTTCGCCTGGACTCTATAAAAACAGTCAAGCTTATCCTGGATTGTCAGGCTAGAGTGTATTAGAGCTTTACAAGCTCTTGGTGCTTCTCCTTGGCCACATAGGCAAACTGTTGCCTTACTCCTGACAGCAACACAACCAAAGAGGAACTCTCCTCTCCAGGCAATTAGGACCCACAATCTGCATTCTGTGAACTTGGGTGTCATTCAGATAGGGGGTCAGGAAGAGGCAAATCACATGGTCAATGAACAAGGGAAGTACACCTAAATAACCAGTCACACAGGAAAAGTGGGACAAAACTCTCAGCCCCTTCCCACCCTGCAAAGTCATTTACCCAACACTCTAGGAGCACATACGGTGAGACTCTGCTTCCAGTTTGTGAGCATGATCAAGCCTCATCTGTGCCCTCTTGGTATCTGAGTGGTATCAGCAGTCTCCCGTTAACCTCAGGACTGTGGTCCTCACATCCCCAGCCACGGAACAGTGTTCTAGAGCCACTAAGAGGGAGTTCTAAGAAGGTCTGAATCCAGTTGAGGCAGCAGGTCTGATTAAGAGCACCCCTGGCCAGCCATGGCACAGTCACAGTGCCTCACCACGTTCTCTTAAAGCCTGGGCCTTTACAAGTGCTCTTTCCCAGCAAGACAGGAGGCAGAGGGACCACACCCAGCAAACAGGCCGAATGAAGCTGTAGGAACTAGGCTGTGTCCCCTCAAAGGACATGTAAGCTCTAAGTGTCTCTGAATAGGAAGGGGTTCCTGTGCATGCCACTGCTTAAGATGAGGTCATACTGGAGCAGCGTGCCCATCATCCAACTGAGGGCCTCAAAAATAAAGACGCAGGGAGCAAGCAGCCAAGTGACAGTGCAGGCATGGCCTGGAATTCTGCATTTATAAGCCAAGGAACACCACAGATTGCTGAAATGTGCCACAAGTCAAGGGAGACATGAACAGGTTCTCTCTGTGGCCTTCAGAGGGAGCACAACCAGCTCACACTTTGGTCTGGGAGCACTGGGGTCTAGGACTATGAACAAAAGCACCTCTCTTGTTGCAGCAGCCCTAAGAAAGTAATGCAAGGTCTAAGGCATCAAGCTCCTCCCTCCCTCAACCCACTGCACATACACATGAATACAAGGCGCACACATGCACACACACACACACACACACACACCAGAGGTAGCCACTCTGATGGTCAGCTACGTTATGAACCCTTATAAGTTCTTTTCAGCTTTCCTAGAATCTGCTCTTTGAGTCTGAAATGTCTGTGGCATAGGCAGCAAGGGCATATTTCTCCTAGGCTGCTCGATATTCAGGCTGGACCTGAACTCCAGCCAGCTTTGGGAACCAGAGCCCAGCTTCCCTTCCTCCATGTCGCCCATCTCGTGGGTCCAGGGAATACGGCTGCTGGGGTTCTGGAGGGCATTTGGGTACCTGGCACACATTGTAGTGTTCAAAGAGAGATAAGAAACCGATGTCACTGCGTGCCCCGATGCCTCGGAGGAGCGTGATGTTCCCGTCGCCTGAGTCCAGCTCCACCACATCATTGAAAACATTGGACACAGCTCTCCCGGTCAGGAGAAGATTGACAAGTTCCTGTTGATGAGAGAAGGGGAAGCTGCGTCAGATCTCTGAAATCAGCCTTGGGAGGGCGGAGGGAGGCTGAGAACAAGGGAAAAAGGGTGGAGGAGGAAAGAAACCAAAGAAGGTGCGAAACAGAATGCAGAGCTGGGACAGTAGAGACTTGATTTTTCCACAGGCTTTGATGGGGGGAAATCTGTCAACTGCTTCCATCAAAGCACTTGGAGGAAGGACTCAACAATCTAGCTGCGAGCATTCCTTAAACAAAGACTGTACACAGGAGCCTGTCCTAAGTCAGTGCTGCGGGGACCTTAGAAAGGCTACAACACAGCTCCATGCTCCGGGCCAGCTAGGGAAGACAAGGATGTACCTGTGAGGTAGAAACCTAATGTAGGATATGAGTAGGGCATAAAAATGTGTGCATAGACACATAGACACACAGTCACATAACTAAGTGACAACAGCTTTGTTGGAGACTGACTTCCGGGAGGGTCTTGAAAAATAGTGTTTTCAAAAATAAGCATTTTAAAGTTCAAAATGACATTAGACTCCATGGAAGTGGCAAAAATAGTCCAGAGAGTTCCTGTGTACCCTTTACCCAGCTTCCCTCGATGATAACATCTCACAGGACTCAGCACATCCCATAGCCAGGAAGCCAGCCAACCCTGCACACGGTAGTACCAAGGAGGTGCCCTGGTCTGACTAAGGTCTTATGGGGATGCTGAGGAAGGTAGGGTGGGACAAGAGAAGGGCAGGGGCAGAGAGAAGGTTGTGTTGAGCTTGCCTTGGATAGCAGGTATCCAATGGACCTGTGGCTCACGCCTCACACCTAGCCAAGCATCAAATGTGTAACCTCAGACCTGGACTTGTCAGTAGCTGGATGGCATCTCCAGGAGTCTCCATGTCTAGAAGCTGCACTGCAGTGGATCACTGAGGCTGGACACACCTACATCCCATCATCAATGGTTAGGGATAAACAAACTGAGTCTGATGGATGAGACAGGACTTGTCCTGGCCATGCAGCTTGACATCTGCTGAGTGCAGCACCTGTGCCACCCTTGCTACCCTGGTGGCAATTCTGCCGAGACACTCTGGCTGAAAGGTGTCAGCTTCCGAGAACTCTTTGGGGATGGACTCTGATTAATCCATCCTTAGCATTCAGACAAGCTGTCCCTCTGTGTTATTCTCCCCGGGAAGGCTAGCATTGCCAGCGAGGCAAGCAAGCACACAGCTGTCTCCTGGGCCACAGGCATGGCGTTGCCACCTCTATCCAACCTATGCTCTGCAGAGCAGAGTTCACAGAAGTGTTTTCTCTTGAATTGTAAAGCTGATGTTCTGGTAAATGACACAAACACCCCTGCCCCAGTGACAGTTAGGCCTCCACTGATGGCCGCCAAGGGGCCTTCATTAGAAAGAGACAGTAAAGGGCCTCATTGTGTCCTTGAAGGGGAAATGACAAAATAATTCAAAGGAAATAACTGTTCTGAGATACTGTACCTCAGGTCACAGGTTACTAAGAAAGGCACTGTCTTGGGTTTGTGGGGGGTGGGGGGTGCGGGGGGTGGGTTTTTTTTTTTTGGAAAGTTTTTCCATCTGGTTTTCAATGAGAAGAAAGGCTCCTCCTGCTCTTCCATCTGGGAAGTGTTTAAAACATTTCTCTCGGCAGGAAGTCTTCTTGAGATAGGAGCAGCACGTAGCTCCTGCTGCGCTTAGGTGAGGGGACCTTGCTGTAGCAAAGCTTAGTCACCATCCAGCCTATTGCTACTCAAAGCGTGTACTCTGGACTGTTCCTCCTCAGGGGCATTTTTAGAAATTCGGCCTCCACGGGGCTGGGGTGAGGGGGTGCATGGCTGTAATCCCAGCACTTAAGGAGGGTGAGACTGGAGGGTCTGGAATGCAAGGCCAGCATGGGTTACATAGCAAGACACAGTCTCAAAAGAACAAGAAGAAAATAAAGAAGCCCTAGCCCCAGCCCAGCCTGAGTCAGAGCCTGACCCACAAGCTTGGTAGCCATGGACTGGGCCAGATGCCTCTTCCACAGGAAGGAAACTCGAGCTCAGGAAAGGAGGAAGACACCTCACCTCCTTCTGTGAGTGTGGTGAGAACAGGCTCGAACCCAGGCCTGGATGACGCTGGTCTAGTCTCATCTGCCCCCCTCCACCTTAGCAGCTCCATTCTCTACCCCTTCAACAAGCATAAGCTCCCTTGGGGAAAAAAAAGGAGCCCAGAAGGAGAGCAAGGCCATCAGACAAGCCAGAAGAGCAGACATTCTCTGTGGCTTTCTTCCTGGGAGGCCAGAAGCCAACCCCTCAGCCTTCTGTGGGTGTCTGTTACACCACAGACCTCAAACCTGTCCTTGCATGGGACCAAGGTAGGTTTCCAGGGTTAGACACAAGTGAGTCAAAACCCCAGAACAACTGGTTCCCCAGCTGGGGCAGAAGACGGTGAGTTCTGGCTCCTGCATACCCAAAGACAACATGTGAATATGACCCCTAAGGCCATTCTTAGAGGTCTTGAGAAAGGAAGCTGCCTTCATGCAGACTAGAGAGGCTCGTGATGCTCTTTACTGGCATTACCTGACAGGGAGTATCAATGACAAGCGAGGTCAGGGTCTCTCTGGTCCCCAACAGGGCTTTTTTGTAAAGATACAGAGGGAAGGGCGGTTGCAAAGGCAACGTCGTCTGCAAGTGTACTCGATGTATACTGTTGCCCAGGGTTCCCAGCCACGCTGGGGCATGTTTCAACACCCTGGGCTCTGTGCAGTTCAGCACTTAAGTGGGACTTATGTTCCACCCCTTCTGAATCCCTGTTCCTCTAAGAATACCAGTCAGCAGGAAACAAGCTAAACCAGAAAGCAAGCTGAGCTCTCTTCCCGGGTCTCCATGACAGTGAGGCCCAGAAGAGGCGGGCTCATGTAAGCTGCTTGGAGGGTGTTTGAGATGAAGAACGAAGGAAGTAACTGAGGACAGGGAGGCTAGCTGGCTTCCCTCTGTGGGCCCCACTGCCTCCTGACCTGCGTGCAGTATCCGTGAGCTCCGATGAGATGGCTGGTGGGGACATCGAAGTCCTGGCGGACACTAGAAGGCATGAAAGAGAGAGGCATTAGCATGTGTGTGGGGCACTAAGGAGCCAGGTGCTCTCTCTGGGCCTGGGCTATGGATTTCAGATTTTCTGAGAACCTAAGCACTCTTGTTGTGTTGTGACCCCTCTGTGGAGATGATGACACAAAAAATGGCCTCCATTTTGATCACACCAAAATCTGGTGAGTGAAAGGCCCTTGGGCTGGGAATCCAATGTCCAAAATTCACACCATAACTACTAGTAACAGTGGTGAGGATAGGGTGTTTGTGCTCAGTCAAGCCAGTCTGTTAAACAGGAGAAATTGGCTGGACCGGACTCTAATGGCTTTGCTGTAGTGTCAGTATGGGTGGAGTATGTCTCCCCAGGGATTGTGTGCTAAAATCTGACTCCCATTGTGAGGTAGTAAAAGCATAAAAAATTGTGTACATGCATGTGTGCTTCTAGAGGCCACAGGCTGATATCCAATAATATCCTCTATACCTCTCCACCTTATTGTGTGTCTGTGTGTGTATCTGTGTGTGTGTATGTGTGTGCGCACGTGTCTGCACACACATGCATACATGCACATGCAAGCACCTGCCATAGTGAATCAGAGAACTACTTTCAACCGACAAGTGTCGGTTCTTTCTTTCCTCCATGTGGGACCCAGGGACTGCACTCAGGTCACTAGTCATGGTGGCAAGTGTTCTTTCCCACTGAGCCATCTCGACAGCCTCCACCTTATCTTTTAAAAGATTTTCTTTGAGAATTTCACATGCTTACACAGTGAAATATGGTATCCTCTCCCTTTCGTCCTAGCTCCTCCCAGATCCTCCAATCAGACCCTTGCCAACCTCATGACAGCCCACTAAGACCAGGTAGTGTTGGCTATGTGTGTAGGTGGCACTCCCTTATTTAATTATTGGTTTTTTAGACAGGGTCTCTCACTGAACCTAGAGCTCACCAATTTGGCCAGACTGACTGGCCAGTGGAGCTCACTGTCTCCACCGTGGTCCACAGGGGTCTTCTTGTCAACTCAGTGGTGGGGTTACAGCTTTTCACAGGCACACCTGGCTTTTTTGCATAAGTACTAAGGATCTGAACTCAGGTCTTCACACTTTAAGCAGTAAGAACTTTACCAACTGAGCCATCTTTCTAGCCCAAGAAGGCAGAGTCTTGATAACTACGGTGTTTAGAGTTGAGGCCTTTAGGATTAGACTACGATTAGGTAACGTCATTAGGATGAAGGCACTATGGTTGAATCCTGATAGCCTGATCAGGTGAGCTAGAGCAGGGAGGGGAGAGAGGAGAAAAGGAAAGGAGAGAGAGTGGGGGAGGGAGATGGAGGAGGAAGCATACATGTACTCCCTTTGCTTTGTGGTTGCTTTACCTCCTCAGGACTCTGCCAGCAAGAAGAGCGTCATGAGATGCAGACACTTAACTCCCAGAATCATAAGCCAAAATACACATTGCTCATTTAAAACTGACCATGCCTATGGTATGGCATTGTTGGCAATAGAAGTCAGCCTACCATAGAAAGCCTGCTTGAGGCTGTAACAACAGCCATGGCCACCCGAGCACAGCTTTTGTCTTGGGTGATACACTCTCAAGATTCCCGGAGACCATGTAAGAAGACCCTGTCTCAAAGAAATAGCTGGCTTTCCAAAGGGACCCTGCTCGTGGATGACGGGATAGTGGGGAACCCTGGCAGCTAGTGTCCCAAGGCCTGGATACCCCCTTCATGTGGCTCCATACTTAAAACAGAACCTCAAGCAGCAGAGAGTGAAGAGCCTCTTTACCAAAAGAAAATTATTCAAACTAGAAGGAATGGGTGTAAGGTGAGAGGAAAAAACAGCTCGGGGTAGCCATGGTGATAGGGACCCTCACCCTGAGGGGTGAGAGTTGGTCATGAGGAAGCATGAAAGTCTCCATGCCCAGCCTCAAATCCCTCCCTGCCATCACCTTAATCCTACCATTAGGATTCTGGCCCTTCAGGCATCCTAAAGTAAGTCTCTCTAGAGGCACCAATGTTATGTGCCCTAGAACCGGTTAGCCAGCACATAGGAAAGTAGCCATGGCCACTGACCACACACAGCATGAGGCCCAGACAAGAAGGACTTAGTACACTTATTCAACAGACGTGGAAAGAGGCTCAGACAGGTGGGCAGCAGGAGAAGGTAAGGTGAAAGAGCCTGGATCTTAGGCCTTCACGGTTACACACAGACCTGGATGCGTACTGCCCACCGGGCACTATGCCCAGGGCATGGTCTGCTTCCTACATCCACAACCCAGAAGCAGCACTGAGCTGGGGCCAAGGGTGGCAAGGGCTCAGTGACTGGACAGTTGTTTTTCCTTTTAGTGAAAGACAAGGAACCACCTGGGCTCAATAGATGCCACAAGTCTAAGATCCCCAAAATGGACACTCCAGTCCTCTTCCCTTCCCAGATTACTTCACAAACTCAAACTCCATCATACTTCCCCCCCCCCAAAAAAAAGAAAAAAGTGTGTGTGTCTGTGTGTGCCTATGTGCATGTGTGCACGCGTGCGTGCGTGCACGTGTGTGTGTGTGTGTGTGTGTGTGTGTGTGTGTGTGTGTGTGTGTG